CAGACTCCGTGCTCCCCAGCCCTTCTGTCACCCCAGGCCCCGTCCCCGAGTCCCCGATCCCCGCTCACCTCCATCCTGGGGCCTGAAGCGTCTCCCTCTTGCCCTCCACCAGGCCTCCCTTTCTTATCCTTCTCTTCTAGACCCCGGCCTAGATGCCCGCTCCGCCAGGAGGCCTTCCCTGGCCCCCACACCGCCCCCCAGGCCAGGCTCCATGCCCCTCTGCTCTCCCAGCCTCTCCCCCCTGCACGGCAGCCTCAGGGATTGCGGGGAAGGGGAGCAAGGTCCAGCCTGGCCTTTGTCCCGTCCCCATCCTGGCCTAGGGCTCCCTAAGGGGAGACCTTGCCTCAGCCCCCCTCTGCCCTGCATGCGAGCCGAGCTCCGGGCATGGAGGGGTTCAGGACAGGTGAGTAAAGGGACATGCGAAGGGACAGAGGCGCGACCCGTCCCACCCGTGGAAGAGCAGGGACTCCAGAGCCAGGACTGAGCCCCAAGGCAGGGGAGGGACCTCAGGCAAAGCCCCCTATCCCGCTCGGGGCGGTGGGGCGGGGTGCACAGTTGGCCCAGCTGCGGCCCAGCCCCAGCGGCTCAGGCAGGGGTCTTCCAGAGAGAAAGGCCCCGTAGGGCCCCGCCGTGAGTGGGCAGCCGAGACCCCCGCTGGGCTCGTCCTGGAAGGACTGGAGTCCTGCCGGCCACGCTCAGGCCTCAGGGCAGGAGGGCTGGCCACCCAGGGGAGACCCGCAGGGCCCGGGCGGGACACCTGTGGCCCGCACCCAGAGGTGCCCCGGCCCTGCCTGCCGGCCGCGGGCCTCCGCCTGCAGGTGGAGTGAGAGGACGCCTCCGGCTGGGCCTGCGCCTCCGTCTGCTTCCTGGCAAGGCTGGGGGGCAGCCTCGGGATGGAGCTGGGCTCCGAGAGGCCTGGAGCGCAGACCAGCCAGGGGAGCTGGCCAGGCAGGTCCAGCCTGGGCACGGCCCACCCCGCAGCCCAGGCGGCAGTGCCGCCCAGGCCAGCTGTAGGTGGGCTCCCCTCACCTGTCCACCCCCAGGCCTCTGCTGGGTGCTGCAGGGGGTGCCCGTTCTGCCACTCCCGGGGCCACCAACACTCCCATCTCCTGATCCCCTGGGGGCTCGGGAGGCCCAGCCAGGCGATTCTCTGTCTCCAGGTTCTGCAAGACCACGGACCTGCTGAGCAGGCGGGTGGCACCGCAGAAGGGAAGGTGGGGGCTGCTCAGACCCTGCAGAAGGAGGCCAGCCAGGGCTGCAGCAGGCGAGCCCCGGGGCGGCTTCCTGCTCCTGGGGCCCATGAGCCTGTCCCTCGCCTGCTCTCCAGCTCAGTTCTGGCCCCTCACCTGTCCCTTCCTCCCAGCCCCTGGGCCCCCAGACCACAGCGCCCCGACTCCAGGCCGGCCTCAGACCGGCTGCCGCCCTCTCCTCCCTCACTCCACCCCTGTCCTCCTGACCCCTTCCCCAGCTCTGCTTCACCCGGTTCACCCAGATGTCTAACTCAGATCCTTGTTTTTTAACCCGGTCTTTCCTGTTCTGGCCTTGGTGAGGACAGATGGCTGCTGTCATCTCCGCCCTGAGACTTGCCCTCCCACCCCCTTCCAGGTGTCTCTGTGTGGCGTTGGACCAGCCGGGGCCTCTGTTCGCCTCCTGGGAGGAGGCAGGTGAGCTGGGTAGAAGGAAGACCGCACCAGACCTGAGTTCAAATCCCAAGTTTGCCTCTCACCACTGTGACCTTGGACAGACCCCTTACACCCTACGCCTCAGGTTGCCCACCTATAAAACGGAGCCAGCTCTGACCTACTCGGGGGACGGGTGTTGTGAAGGCCATGGGTACCTGCGGACCAGACCCAGTGACCGGTGCGGTGGGGGGTATTCAGTGTCCCAGGGACCTGCCCCCTGGCAAGGACCCCGGCCTGCCTCGGGGGAGGGGCAGCCACAGCAGGGAGGCCCCTGTCCATCAGGAGGCGGCGGGGTAAGAGCCGGGACAGAGGCAGGGGGAGCAGGAGCCCAGGCGGGTTTGCTGGGGACGGGGGACAGTGAGGGGCATGGGCAGGGACAGTGGAGGAAAGGATCCCAGGCAGAGGGCTCAGCGGAGTCGCCTGGGGTGTGCGGGGAGCTCAATGAGCTGGTCGGGCCGGGGTGGGGGCTCACCGGTGGGGGCCCTTGTGGGGTGCGACGGAGGGGAGGCCCAGGGTCAGGGAGCACCCCCAAGGCCACACCAAGGAGCTAGCCTCTGCCCGCCAGGGTTGCAGGGACCCTGCGAGCTGCGGCCGCCAGCCCCAAGCCGAGTGGACAGGCCTGCGCGGGAGGCCCCGGTGGCCGGGTTGCTCCGGACGGAGGCGGGCGGCCCGGCGGGCAGAGCTCGCTCCCCGCGCCCGCTCCGCAGGGGGCGCAGCCCAGCCCTTCCCTGTCTCCCCGGCTGCCTCGGTAGGCAGTCGCACCCCCGGAAGTGGCCTCCTCTCGGGGCAGGAGAGTGGGATGCAGAGCTGAAGCCCCTGAGGCCAGGGCCAGGCTCGCCGCGCCCTGTCCCCAGGGAGCAGCCCAGGGCCCGGCTCCAGCAGGGCCGCACGAGCAAGCAAACTGGCAAAGGAGGGGGGATGGGTGGCAGCGAGGGGTCCCAGGGGTCCAGCTCTCTTGCCGGTGTCCTCACATCCTCCCGAGGAGCTGAGGCCATGGCGCTTGCTTCTGTCTTGGGGGCCCTGTGCTCACTCAGGGCAGGACCAAGGCAGCCTGGGGAAGGGACACCCGGCAACTGCAGAGGCTGAAGGCCCTGTACGGCCCGCGGCCGGCGGAGAGCCAAGGGCCAGAGCCCAGGGGGCACACCACGGCGTGGGGAGCCATGGTGTACTGGGCACCAGGCTTCTGAAATGTTAGCCTCGGGGGTGGGGCCTGGGGCTTGGGGGGCGGCCCCCAGGCCTGGCCAGCCTGTGGGCTCCTCGCCCTGGGCGGGGCCCCAGAGGATGTGCTAGAGGCCCTGGGAGGCCAGGGCTGGGGTTGAACTGTGGCCAAGAAAGAAGTACAGTCTGGGCCCCGGGGCCGCGGCATTCTCGAGCTCCTTCCTCATTCCTGACCCTGTGGGGGCAGGCGGACCCCGGCGTCCCCCGCGGCCGCCTCTCGGATCTGCTTACCGTCCCCCGGGGAAGCGGGACTCCTGCCAAACGACCCGGACCGGGCCGGGCCCGTGGGCCTCACCGGCCACCACCGCCCAGCCCAGCCACCTCCTGCTCTCAGAGGGGGAAACTGAGGCCGTGCGCCAGGGAGGGCCACCCCGGGGCCCTCTGAGCCTGGGGTCAGGGAGGGCTCTCTCCCAGCCCCCTCCGCCTTTGCGGGCTCGGAGGCCACGGCTCCCTGGCGAGCCCACCCGGGGGCCCCTCCGCTGAGACCTCTCCGGGTCTGGGCCAGGCTCCATGGGTGCCCCGCCGGGCACGGTGCAGACGGGCTGTTTGATCAGCGGTTCCGCCCGATGCCAGGCCGCTGGGACGGCGGGCAGTGGCCAAACCGGCCCCACCGCATGCCTTCCGGCCCTCGGCAGGAATGCCGCTCACTGTCCTGGTGCATGGTTACCACAGGCGGAGGCCTGGCCCCTGGGGAGAGAAGGCCTGGTGGCTGCCCGGGGCCTCGCAGCCTGCCCCGTGGCCGGAGCTCGCAGGCAGTGTCCCGGGGGGCAGGCGCGGGGCCGGGGGCACATTGCCCAAGCCCACCAGACGGAGACAGACTCCCCTGAGGCCAGCGAGGGTCAGAGGGGGGAGACACGGAGGGAGGCAGATGGAGCCAGGGGCTCCCAGCTGCGGGTTCCTCGCCCCCAGGCCCCCCATTCTCCTGAGAACAGCCCCTACCACCAGCCCACGGGTCAGCTCCAGTACCAGGCCATGGCCCTGTCCCTGCAGCCCAAGCCCAGGCTGTCCAGGGAGGCCTCCGGGTCGGATCCAGGCCCCGCCAATGGCCCCTGCTGGGTGGGGCAGGCCCATAGGTACTTGGAGGAAAGAGGGACTGAGGGTCCCCCCCAGGACCGGGGCCAGGTGCGCAGACGGGCGCGGGGGCGGGGCCGGGGAGTCAGGACGGCAGGGGCTGGTCCTCAGGGGTCGGCAGCCTCTCCCCCGGAGCGTTGCACAGATTCCACACACACTCACGTCTTTGATTCCAGCTTTATTGGAGCCGTCGCTCCCCTGCAGAGAGGCCGGACACGGCCGGTCAGAAACCCACCGGCTCCCCTGAAGTGGGCGCTGCAGGGACGCGCGGCCCCGCGGCCACCGCCGCCCCTGCCGGGGCCACGCCGATGCCCTCTCCCCGCGGGGAGGGCCGCTGCTGGCAGACTGAGGGGGGCGGGGTCTCGGCAGGGGCACCTGATGCTGAAGGACGGTGCCCATGACTCGGTGGCGTCAGGGGCCCCGAGCGTCTGTTTCAAGCAGGAGGAGCCTGTCTCAGGGGACCGCACACAGCCGTCCCCCCTCCCCAGTACCCAGTGTAGGTCACAATAATTTAAAAGACACTATAGACATTTCGACACTATATAACAATATAAGTTAACCAGGTTCCTTGGCAGAGGACATTGGGCCTGTGGACTTGGGGCGTCCTGGGGCCCGGGGGTCGGGTGGGGGGGGCATTCACGTTGGCCTGGAAGGTCCCAGGACAGCAGCTAAGGGAGTGTCCTGGCATCACGGGGCGCACGCAGGGGACGCCAGGGCCCAGACAGTGTTACTCGCCCTAGGCGAACGTCCAGCCCGCTGGGCCGGTCAGCACCTGAAGACACGTTTCCTTGGGTTTCTGCGAGGAAATACCCTAGACTTGGGGTGGGGGCCCGTGGGCAGTAGAGGGTGCACCAGAAGTCATCGCACGCCACGCTTCCCAGCCAGTTACAGCTCTGGGCCGCGGTCTCCCAGGGCGGGGAGGGAGCGTGCGCAGAGGACACGTCCAGCCCCGGGTCCCAGACCCCTCCCCCTCCCATCCCACGGTTCAGGATCAGAGCTGAACGGGCCCCTTCCCGCTCCCGTCTCCCAGGTTGCGGGGTGAGCTGGGCTTCAAGGGAGGGTCTGCGTGGTGTGGGCACACCGCAGGCAGCGTCCGGGGCGGCCCTGGAGCCAGGTGTCCTCCACACCGAGGTCCGGGTGAAAGTTGGAAGGGCCAGGGCAGGCAAAGAGTCCACTGACAGCCCTCAAAGGCACCTCTTGGCGGGGTGCAGACCCCAGGGAGGCTGGCAGCGAAGGGAGGGTGCTGTTGGATTTCTCAAGCCATGGGGGCCACCGTGGGGGACTCTGGTTAGTGCTCCATTCTGGGCCTCAGTGTCCCCATCTGTCACATGAGGCAAATGCCCTGAACTACTCCCAGTTCCCCGGCCCCCCAGCACAGCTCTGTCCCGGGGTCTGGCTGGCCGCAGGGGCGGGGGGTCTGTAAACGGCGAGGTGCCAGGCTGGCAAGGGGCTGGGAGGGCCACAGCGTTAGGGAGGGGATACAGCCCTCCCACAACCTAATGCGGATGACATTTTGATTCGTTTGATAAGGTTTTTCTAAAAGGAGAGAAGGGGGGCCGGAGGTCCCTGTCCAGAGCTGTCCTTAAAGGCCCTTGGGGGCCATGTCGGTCACCAAGCCCCTGCTCAGCTCACCCGGGGACCGCTCGCACACAGCCAGCTGCCTCGGGGCAGGGCCCACAGGGTGCCCCGGCGCGTCCAGGGGAGGAAGCGGCAGGCAGAGGGGCGCTAGCATGGAGTACGGGGTCAGGACCAGCTACACCTTCACGCTAAGAGTCCTCTTCTGATACTATGGAAACATAAATAATTTTTCTCAATACCTGCCCAGGCCGCCCCCGGGCCCTGCGGCTGATGTGGCCTGGGAAACAGTCTCACGCAGGGAGCGGGGTGGGGCAGCCGGCGTGGCATTTCCATGTCTGTGCCACCAGGTGGGGGAGGGGCACACTCAGAGTCTTGTCGTCGCTTTGCTTTCTGGGGATACGTGTGTCCCTTTCCTGAAGAAAAGAAATCAATTCACTGGGCCCCGTCAAGGACACCTTGGCGGGGTCGGCTGGGTCGCGGGCACTGTTCTGCCACAGGAAGCGACAGGAATGGCAGGAAGGAGCCGCTGGGGACAGGGAAAGAGTGACAGGCCCGGTGGGAGCCCCGCCTTCCGCAGCCACCTCTGCCCCAGCCGGCAGCGCGGAGCAGGGAAGGTGGGGGCCCGTGTGCAAACGCGGCAGCGGGCAGCTGTGGCCGCGGCCCCTCACTTGCAGGTGAAGACCTCGGTGCGCTCGCTGCAGGTGTTGCACTTGACGAAGCAGCACCAGTGGAACTTGCAGTTGCACTGCCAGACCTTGGTGTACTGGTGCGTGTTGTAGCCGCGGCCGCAGCACATGGTGTCGCAGCCGTCCGCGCCAGGCGAGGTGCGGTTGCACAGGCGGCCCTGGGTGCCCACACTGCCCGTGGCCGCGTCCTCCTCGCAGTAGTTGGGCGACTTCTCGATGTACACCAGGTCCGTCTCCATGGGCTTCTGGTAGCTGCGCAGCTGCTTGATGCGCAGGAAGGTGGGCTGCCGCAGGCGGCTGGCCCGCACCACCTCCACCTGCACGGCCGCGTTGTACTTCTCCTTGAGCAGGTGGCCCACCTCACGGAACTTGGGCAGCGTGGTCCAGCATGTCTTGGTGGTGCAGGAGCCCGACACGCCGTGACACTTGCACTCCAGCTTCATGCGCTCCTCCAGAACCTGCGGATGGGCCACAGAGCAGGGCTGAGGGTGCGCACGGCCTAGGAACGCCCCCACCCCCGGGACCCCCATGCGCCCAGCCGGACCGGAGCCGGCTCCCCCACACTCCCCACTGCGTCACCATGGGGACGGGTCTCCTCACTGAGCCTCAGCCTCCTCACCCGCTGATGGGCACTGCAGACCACAGGTCCCTCCTGCGCAGGCCCTGGTGAGGGGCCCGTGGGGATGTTCAGAACTCAGCAGAGCTGGACACACAGTTATCCAAAGTGCTAGTAAACTCTCACCACAACCCTTTAGGGAGCTGGGGATCGGAGCACCATGAGGAAACAGGCTCGGCGTGCCGTGAAACTTGCTGCCAGTCACAGGGCATCACGGGGTGCAGCCAGGCTGGGGGCAGGCGCCTCACCGTGGCACCAGGCCCAGCCACAGTAGGTGCTTAATAGGTGCAGATCCCCACCTCTGCCTGCCCTACCCCCCTCCCTCATGCCCAGTGGAGTCTGCACTTAATAAACAGCTGTGCGGGGAAAGCCTGGTGCGCACAGAGCTCCCTGGCCCGGGTTTGAGGGGGACGGGGTGGCGGGGGGGTGGCCGGGCGGGAGCGGGCGCCGGGGCCCGGCTGCGCCGCCTGCTGGGAAGGCGTCCCGGCCCGTTCTCCCTGGCTGTGCTTTCCTGGGGCCTCCCTCGCTGGCCCCGGAAGGCCGGTTCCCAGAGCCAGCCCTGACCCCAGGTACTCATTTACCCGGATCGAAAGGGCCCTGCCAGCGGGCTGATTAAAGATGGGAATCATTAGCTGCGGCCCACGGCTGCAGAGGGGCCATTTGTCAGCTGTCCGCGCTTCGCCAGCCTCACTTCCACGGCCTGGGCCTGGAGGGGCCTAGCTGCCCTCTGGCCCCGGGGCCAGAGCTCCGGTTCAGAGTGGGCGACCCACCGTGAACGCAGGGACGAAAAGGGGCGAGAGGGACATCCCGCAGCGCCAGCTGCCGTCCGGCCCCTCTCCGTGCCCTGGCAGCTTGGAGCCCAGGGCCTGGGGGAAGACGCCCAGGGCTCCCGGTCCGGTGTGGGCAACACGGAAACCGTCTCACAGACAGCGACGCGCGGGGGCTGCGGCGCCTCAGCCTGCCCAGGGTGAGAGTGCCCGGGGGGCTTCCTGGAGGAGGGTGCGCGTGCACCCCGTATTTATGGAGGAGGGGCTCACTAGCTAAAGAGGTGTGGCCCAGATGAGTGTGACGTGAGGGCCAGGTGGGCCTGGAGGCCGGGGGCCTGGCGTGGGGGAGCGGGCCATCCTGGGGATATTCAGAACTGGGACTGCGGGCCCATGGGGTGTCTGGGTCTATGAGGGGACCCTCTCCACCCCAGGAAAAGCATCTCTGGGCCTCCTCCCTGCCTCCTGCCCCCACCCCCCACCTCGTGTCCATCAAGGGCAGGCATCTCCTCCCCCTCCTCCACCCCCTCCCCATGGTCCTCTTTGCTTGAACCCTCCCCTCTCCTAAAAGCCCCTCCCTCCACTAACCGTCCTTCGAGGCCCGGAGGCCTCCCCAGGCCTGGCCCCACCGCCTGCCGGGCACGTCCCTCGGGCCGGGAGCTGACAGGACAGAATCCACTCTCGGAACCAATGGCCCACGGGACGGTCCGCCCCAGGCTGCTGGCCCAGGAGACTCCCCTAGACGGGCTGTGACGGCCAGAGACGTGACCGAGGCGTCCAGAGTGGAGGCTGTGCTGGCCAGGCAGCCCAGGCCTAATCGCCACGCACACGTCCACTTCGGCCTGCTGCACAGCCGGCCCGCCACCCGCCCGAAGTCCTTCCCTCTGTCCCAGCTCCCAGTCCGCATCGAGGCCCGACGCTTGGCCCCCACCCTCCGCCTGGGGACCCTGTGGGACCAGGCCCGTGGCGGTGAGGGCAGACGGAGCTGAGGGGGCAGCCCCCTGCTGAACGAGGGGCCGCATCCTCGCTTGGCCGGGTCCCCTGCGCCTCTCCTGGGAAGTGATCACAGGACTGAGGAATGTGCCGCTTCCGTCTCCAGTGCTCTCGAGATAAGAGCGACAGCGAGGGGGGCGCCAGCCCCGCCGCCCGCCGGGAGACCACCTGGGAGGGCGCCGACGGACCCGCCCCGCCCCGAAGAGCAGGGGGCTGAGCGGGGCCCCTCCCCCGGCCTCGGGGCCCCCCCACGCAGTGTGTGGGGCGGGGGGTGGGCGCTCCAGGAAAGAACCGACGTGGGTGCTTTCTGGAACAAGGGGTGCCCCCCAGGAGCAGCTATGGCCTGGCTGGAGGGGTCACAGGTTGCTGCACTGAAGTCCCCGGGAGCCTGGAGTGCAGCAGAAGACTGGGGAGCAGGTCCCCACGCTCAGCCTGTCCGACCCTGGCCCTGCGGAGATGCAGTCGGCCATGTGCCATGACTAGGGGGGCTGCAGAGTGTTCCCTCCAACGCACGTCCACTCGGAACCTCAGGCTGGGAATTTATTTGGAAATAGGGACTTTATGGATATCATTAGAGTAAGACTCGAGATCATCCTGGACCAGGGTGGACCCTGAATCCGAGGTCACCTATCATGTCCTTCTAAGAGACAGAAGAGGAGGAAACATGCAGAGGAGAGGCCACCTGGCGACAGAGACCAGACGGTGGGGCCACAAGCCAAGGAGCCCTGGGGCTCCCGGGGGCCAGGAGAGGCAGGATGGACCCGCCCTGGGGCCGTCAGAGGGAGCCGGGCCCCACCCAAGCCTGGATTCTGGACTTCCAGCTCCAGGCTGAGAGAGAAGGGGTGCCCATTGCTTTAAGACGAGGAGCCTGTGGGGCTGCAGCCGGCGTGGCAGCAGGTCAGCTCGCTCTCCGCCGGACTTGCCGAACCCCCATCCCTGAGAATGGGGGAGGAACCAGGAGCAGGCCTGGCCGCTCTGTCATGGGGGCCAGGACGCCACAGCCTGGGGTGGGACACCTGTGAAGGTCTGGACTCGGTTCTCATGGGGCCTGGGAAGCCGGGCCCACCCCGCCGCCGTGATAAGCACCGTGCTGCTGGGGGGAAACCCCTGCTCCCCAGGGCCACTTGCTGGGCGTCACTCACCCAAGGGCTCCAGTCAGCTCCATGCAGGGGGGCCATAGGGGGAGGGGGACAGGGTGCATTCTGCCCACTGCCCAGATGAGGAAGCGGAGGCTCAGAAGAGGGACGGGGTCAGCCCGCGGGTCCTCGCGGGGAGTCAGGGACGGCGCTGGCCCCAGGGTCCTGGCCCCAGAACCCTGGCCGCTGGCCACTTTATAGCCCTCCCCTGCAGCCACCTCATCCCCAATGGGCCCTCGAACTGCTGACCACCCCCCATAACCTGCTTCTCCTCAGTCCGCGGCGTCTCGGTTCACGGCTTCTTCCCCGTGCAAACCCTGCCACGTGCTCACCCTCCTCATCCCCATCCCCCCGGCCAGGCCTGGACCCCCTCCCCAGCCCTCTCGCTCCTCGCCCCCTACCCGCCGGGGCCCAAGCTGCCTGCCTGCCTGCGTCCAGGGCCTTTTACTACCCGGCAGTCTCCAAGCACCTCCAACTCCCACCCAGGCCAGCCCTGGGGTTCACACGGGACCTCAGGGCTGAATCAGACACGACCCCGGCCCTGGAGCTGGTCAGCCTCAGGCACCTGCAACGGCACCTGTGCCCAAGAGGCCAACATCCAGCCTGGCTGCCACAGTCCTTCACCGCAAGGCCCGTTCAACCGGCCGGTCTCCTCACCCGCCCGGACGCCCCAAGCTGGGCTAGCGGCCTTGCTGCTCTGCACTGTGCCTTTGCCAGTGCGGGTCCCTCCGCTGGGGGTCCCCTTCCCCACATCTCTGTTGCTCCTTCACACACCCCCACAGAGCAGGGACCTGAGCTCAGCCTCGGGGCCACCAGCAGCTCTGTAGCTCCCCCTGGGCCCCGTTGTCTTCCTGGGTAAAATGGGGACAATGAGACCTTCCTCACAGGGGTGTGGGGAAGCCCCTGCTCGGGATCCAAGACCCTGCAGAGGCTCAAAGGGCGATGCTTCCGTGGAGAGCTCAGCCATGCCTCCTCCTGCAGGAAGCCCTCCGGATGCCTCCAGGTGAGTGAATCCCGCCTTCCTCTGTGCCCCAGGACACAGGCCTCGCCCTGCCCCCGCCTACAGTATGGTGTCTGCCTACTGTCTGTGAGCTCCTGGGAGGCAAAGACCATCCCTCGTTCCTTCCTTCATTTGTTCATTTGACCAAAATGTAATCACCGCCCACTGCGGGGCACCCTCCACATCTACAAGATCAAAGTCAAATGCTTGGCCTGGCGTCCAAGGCCTGTTCTGGCCGGCCCCTGCTCACTCCTCCAGCCCTGTCTTGCCCACCCTTCTTGCTCCCGCCAGCCTGAACCCTGAGCAGCCCCGCCCCCCACCCGAGTGCCAGCTCCTTCTGCCTCTGCTTGTCTCAGCTCTGGCATGTCCTTCAAGGCTCCCCTGGGACCTCCCCACCCCCAGGGAGCTTCCGCTCCCCTTCCCGCCAGTCCCCAGGGCTCTGGCTGTCCCAGGGCATGGCTGCTGCTCCCCTCCGGTGGCCCCCATTGGTGCTGGGGGAGCTCCCACGGCCAGGCTTGCCACATCGTGCTCCTGTCTGCACCCTGCGCCCAACCTCGCGCCGGCACAGATGAGGGGCAAGGAGCGTTTGTTGAGTGAATGAGTGTTTGCTGAGCAATTGCAACTCCTCTTTGCCTGGAATGGCAGGTCTGCCCCAGGCCTGCCGAGCCCCTCGGGCCCTGGCGCCCTGGGCGCAGCCCCCGGGGCCGGGGAATCAGACCCGGAGAGGCGTTCTGCTCCGCTGCCTGGCCTATCTCTGGCCATCTTGCCGCCGTGGTGGCCGCTCCTCCCAGCCCAGTATCTGGGGCCCTCATCTCCCTGAGGCAAGGCTGGGCCCGCCCTGACTTTTTCCCCAGCGTGCCCCCGCCTGAATGTCCTCCGTTATCGCCCGCCACCCCGCGCCCGCCCCCGGCACGCAGCGGGCTGCTCCCCGGGAGCCCCCAGCTCGGGTTCCAGCCCTCCCGAGGCTGCCCCTTCCTCCTGGGAACATCCCTTCCTGAGGCCTCTCCTGGCACATTGCGCGAAAGGCCACCTCCTCTGAGAAGCCTTTCCTGGTGTGCCGGCACGACCCTCTGGGGCCAGACCTCCCCCCACCCCTAGGTCCCCAGCCAGGTCCGGCTCCCAACCTGCGTGCACAGAGGGTCCCAGTCTCATGCCTGCCTCCTAGGGCCCCCCGCAGCAGGGAGGCTGCGGGCACAGCACTTCATCCCTCCCAGACTCAGTTTTCACACCTCTGGGGCCCGGACAGGAAGGCCCACCCCTTACAACTGCTGCTGGGAGGATGGTGGTGGCTGTCCTGCCCAGCACCACCCGCACCGCGCCTTTGGGGTCCGGGTTCCCAACTCCCTTCGCTGGGAGAGGCCCCAGTGACCCAGCAGCCACACCGGGCACCAGGCCGCCCAGTGCGTGCCTCGCTCCTCCCCTTGCCCGCCAGCCCCGCCCACAGCGCACCACGCCCCGCCCCTTGCCCCCTTACCTTCCTGCCCGCCTCGTTGTTGTGCAGGTTCATGAGACGCCGCGCGTTCTTCTTGATCTCACGCGCGTCCACGAAGCGCCGGGAGAAGTCGATGCCGTAACGCACGTCAGCCGAGCAGCCGCCCCACTTCCAGCCCTCGGCCTGGTTGTAGTAGCCCTGCTTCTCGCGGTCGCAGCCGCAGTTGCTCAGGTTGCCCTGGCTGCAGGCGGCGGTCACCGCGTGGGCCACGCCGGCCGCGGTGATGGCGTACGTGAAGGCGGCCTCACGGCTCCCTGCGGGGAGAGGACGGTGCAGCCCGTGAGGCCCCGCCGGTCTCCGCGCCCTGGGCTCGAGGGACCCGCACCTGGCTGGCTGCGCGGACCTGCGCTCAGCACTCGCCCTCTCTGAGCTTCTGAATCAGCCAAGGGCGGCTGCAGGAGCCCACCTCGTGGGGCTGTGGAGAGGACAGTGGCCTCAAGGCGTGTGTCGCCCCGGCCACCAGCACGGAACACACTTCTCTCCCTGCTACGAGAGCCTGGGCTGGAAGGGACCAGTGTCCCCACTGGTGGCAGACAGCAGTGGGTGGCCCGGGGCCCGGGGCCCAGGGCGCGTGGGGCCAGAGCCTCTGCCCTCCCCTCTCCACCAGACTTGCAGCCACTACTGCAGGTCCACGGGGGCGCCCCCGGCCGGGAGCCCCCAGCCAGGAGCCAGGCAGAATCCCATGCCGCTCGGGCCGACCCCAGCCTCTTGGCTGCTGCCGCCCTCCCTCTGACCACCCACAGTCACCCTGCCATCAGGCCCTGGCCTCCTGAGCCTCCCTTCTCCAACACCCCAGCCTGCCCCAGGGGCCCCTGAACTGCCGAGACTTGGGTGTCGGTCCCCCTGCGTCCCTCACCCCCTAGCCACCACCAAAGGGGGCCCAGAGTGCAGTCCGGGCACCTCCCCCCGGCACCTTCGATGGCTCCATGTGCCTGAGCTGGGGAGGGAAGGCCCGCAGTCCAAACCCAAAGCCTGTGCCGATAGTCCAAGCCCAGCTGGTGCCCTGGCCCTCTGTCCATCCTCCACCCAGAACAGCAACTCCCCTTCCGGTGCTGCTGGAGGTGGCCTGGTCTTCTTGGTGGAATTCCCTTCCTCTCCCTGCCCAGATCCTAACCACCTTCCAAGGCCAGTTGCCAAGCCTCCTCCTCCAGGCAGGCTTCCCAGACCCCTAGCCAGAGCGAGCTTTGCTGCCTGACCTCCCTCCATGGCAGCTCCAACCTTCTCGTTGCTCTTGACACCGTCCACCTGGTGAGCCCCACCGCTGGGACTTCCCAGTTACCTGTGGGCCCAAAGGCCCCTTTGATGGACGGGTCCAGCTCTTCCTTATTTTCCACAGCCCCTGGCTAGGCCCTGTGCGCCCCGCCATCCTGGCCCCAGTCTCTTGAACCCCTCTCACCTGGCCCATGCGCACGGAGGCTCCCTGCGGGCCACGGCCAGGCCTGGGGGGTCCCCAGCACCTGGCACTGCTGGCGCAGAGCTCTGTGACGCTGCCTGAACCACAGTCCAGCCCTGATGAGCCAGAATCCCGCTTCCCGACGAAGCGACCATGGGGCAGGCGCAGCTTCAGCCTTGGGAGGGGCAGCTGGAGACCCACGGCCCTCCCCGCACACAAGCCCCGTGCCTGCGTCCCTGGCTCGCCTGGCTTCTGTCCCTGTCGGGGGGCCGGGGCGATCCTCCAGGCTTGGGGGGGGTCAAGAGTCAAGTCTGGTTCATGCCGCAAACACCCATGGATGCTGACTGGGTGCCCAACTTCGTGCCTGGAGCTCAATGTGTGCTCAGGGTCTGCCTCCTCGGCCACCAGCCGCCGGGGTCTCACTTAGACGGGGTCCCCGTTCTCCTGGGGGCTCACCCTGGATGCAGTCCTTGTTCCCTGGGGTAGTCTCCACCCTCGGTGGGGTCCCTGTTCCACGGGGGGCTCATGTATGTGGGTCCCTGTTCCCAAGATTCCTCCCATCCAGGGTGAAGACCGGGGGGACCCACTGGCCTCAGGGGCCCAGGACAGAGGAGGCTTCGGTTGGCCTCCGCCATCACGGGCGGGCCCCAGCTCCCTGGAAACCCTTCCCCTGAGTACAGCTGAGCGGAGGGTGGTTTCAGGCATCCCTGCCTCCCCCGAAATCTCGGGGTCTGGAGCAGGCGCAGGCCACCACCGCCTTCCCAGGGTCTCGCCGGGGTCCAGCCTCCCCGCCCTGGGGCCGTGCCTCCCAGCCTGGGTCAGTGCACGGCCCCCCAGGAGCCAGCCAACCACAGGGTCGCTGCCTCCCGGGCACCCGCCGGTAGAGAGCGGCTTCCAGCACAGTGAGTAGCCCTCTGAGGAGCGCGGAGGTGCCCCAAGCACCTGGGCCAGCGAGGCTGGCTGGCCGCCCAGGGACCCCCAGACACGGGGACAGGAACAGGAACAGGGAGAAGATGGAAGTCGACCTCCAGGCTTTAAATTAGGTCAGTAGGATCTGAAGGGAAGTCTGGTGCGTATAAAGCGGGTTACTGAACTCCTTGCCTGTGCCGTCCGAGCCCAGCAGCGCTGGCCGAGTAGCTCACACACGGACACCCACAGGCTGGAGTCATAAACTAGGTGGGGGGTTCCAGGAAAGGAGGTGACCACAGGACTCTGCCAGAAGAAGCCAGAGGGGCACAGGGAGTCATGGAACCGTAAAGGATTCTCTGACCTGCTCTTTGGGGGATGGAGTCTGGGGAGGCTTCCTGGAGGCGACATTTTAAAGACCGTCTTGACAAGAAATATGCATTAACCCCCTGTGAGTGCGCGTGTGCATAGCGTGTGTATACAGGGTGAGTCTGGTGTGTGCACACCCCTGGCCACAGCAGGAGCAAAGGGGCCGCGACGTGACACAGTTTGGTGCTGGTGGCACTACAAGTATGCGGTCAAGAGAGATAAGGAAAGAGGGGGCTGCGGTCCAGGGGAGCCCAAATATGGCAGGGCAGCAATGTCCTGTGGGGCGGGCGCCCCTGGGCAGGTGCTGGGGCCAGGCGCCGTGGCCTTAGGGTCTGGGAGCTCTCTGGCCACGCGAAGGAGGGGACTCTGGAACTGCTTAGAGGGCAGGTCAGCAGCACGGTGCGGACACAGTCGCCACTGCGGTCACTCAGCGGCTGTCACACGCCCGGCACGCCTCGAACCCTTCCCACGTGAGGCAGGTTTCGTTACACTGCTCCCACCTCACAGGTGAGGACAATGAGGTGGAGGTGATGGAACTCGGTTAGTGACTGAGGCAGGATCTGGACCCAGGCAGTGGAATCAAAGACTGGAGAAGCGGGGTGGGGGGAGGGGAGGGACGCGGTCCGGGGCAAGGTCCCTGGGGGCAACGCTGCCCCCGCCCCTTCCCCTGCCTCGGCTTGGCACTTTTGCCGCGAAGGGTCCGGGCAGTAGACAGGAGAACAGCTCGCGCAGCCCTGGGGAGGACGCTGTGTTTGGACAGCCTGTGGACCTCGGGGTGGGGGGCGGCTCGACTACTCTGCGGGGGGCGGTGACTCCTGGGTGGGAGCCCGGGGGAGACCCAGTGGCCTCTCTGAGGGGCTGCCGCCGGCTAGGCACCCGGCGACGGGGGTGGGCACAGGCGCCTCAGACGATTGTGCAATCCCGCCAAGAGGCCAGGCCAGGGGCGTTGCGTCCGCACCACCGAGCCCTGCCCGCGCGGGATCGACATGGGCCTTCCCTCACAGGCCTGGAGCCCGCCCGGGACCCTTCTATCCCTAAAGGCCCACCCCTCACCACGGGAGTCGGGGGAGACTCCGTCCTGAGGCCCCCAGGCAGGCCGCAGGCGCCCAGCTGCGCTCGGGGGTGGGGCACGTTTCACGGAAACGTCGTCCTGCGAGTTCCGGCCTCCACCTGGCCAGGCCGTGCCCAGCCCAGACGCAGCAGTTACTCATCAGTTACTCACCGGGCCGCCACTCCCGCTAATTCCTTTTTTATTTGGTTTTAATGAGCCAAACCCTCTTGTCTCACCAGGGAGACAGGGGGCGGCTATTGAGAGAGTCCTTGTTTGGGGAGCTTCCAGGAGGCTGGCGTGAGGTCCCGGATGAGGGGTTCCCATGCACCTGCACTGTGCACAGGCGTCTTGTTTAACTCCCATGACAGCCCCCGGGGTAGGGGAGGGGGCCGCTCCCCGCTGTACCGACCTGGACACTGGCTTGGAGGGCTTTGGCACTTGCCCAGGTCACCGTGTACCTGGGCGTGGAGCGGGGAGAGGGTCTCCTCCCGAAATCGCTCTAGGGCTGTCTGGCCAGTCCCCAGAGAGCTGCCTGCGCCTTCCTCCAGGGTGAGCATGCGTGAGCACTGAGGTCTACAAGGAAGCCTCTCTAACCCGGGGGCCGTGCTCAGCCACTGTCTGGCTCTCCGGCCTCTGAGATGAGCTTGAACTCCGGAGGCCCTGTCCCACCATCCACGCACCACGACCTGCAGCCTAGCTTGGCCAGGGTGCACAGCCGGCCGCCTGTGGGCAGGGCAGCCGCCCCCTGAGCGCACCGCTCTCCTGACATAGATGGGCAACCTGGGTCCCTGCCGCCTGCCCTGTGGACGCCGGACTCTCTGTCTGGGATGTCTGCTCACACTCCCATGTGCCCGCCACTGACCTGAGCTCTGGGCACAGCTGGGGCAGCTCCCGCTCCCGGCAGCCCTGCTGGGGTGAGGTGACCCCCTCTGGGCCCTCACCAGGCGCCCTGGAGGCTGCGGGTGGGCAGGGTCCCGCCAACGCTGCTCCCCGAGCCCCAGACACAGACAGGGCTGGGGCTTCGCACTCATCGCTTCCTTTTACTCCCATGAGACAGACCCCCTGGATGGGACCCACGTCGCGCATGGGAGCACCGAGGCTGAAGGCAGGAAGGAGTTGGCTCCGGGCGCGGTGGCGGGCGCAGGTGCCGCCGCTGTGCCTGGCGGCGGGGGAGGGAGTTGGTGGAGCGCACCCGGGCAGTCCGGCGCCGGCGCCCGGCAGGTCAAGGCGAGACGCGTTCGCTCTGGAGGCCCCCGACCCGCGGGTTAGAGAAAGCGGAGAGCAGGGCGCCGGAGCTCAGGGCGGGATGGGCAAAGAGGGAGGGACCTGGCGTCTCGCCCCTGCATGCGGCCCCGTGCGAGTCGCACACCCTCTCGGAGCCTGTGGCCCCATCTGCCAGGTAGGGCTGGAACTCGTCACCCCACCCCACAGCCCCAGGGGCAGCTGTGCGCGCAAACAGGGCAGACAGGCATCCGCCCCACCCCCACCCCCAAGTGGCGCGCAGGGCAGGGCCGGCCCGGCCGGGGGACGACCGG